ATTGCACAAGTTGCTCGGATCAGGCGTCGCCTTTGTGTGGTCTCCTGAATGTGAAGCGGCGTTTGCCCAACTAAAGTGTGCACTCACATCCGAACCAGTCCTCTGCCATTTCGACGAAACCGCGCCTACGCTCCTGCATACAGACGCTAGTGGTCGAGGCATTCGTGGAATTCTCCTACAGCGAGACAAATCTTCACGTGAGAAAGTCGTCGCATATGCGAGCCGTGCACTGACCCCTGCCGAAAAGAATTATACCATCACCGAACAGGAGTGCCTAGCGGTCGTATGGTCGATACAAAAGTTTCAACCTTATCTTCACGGCCGCCACTTTACTGTGGTTACGGACCATCACGCCTTGTGCTGGCTCTCGACATTCAAGAACTTGTCCGGCCGTCTTGGTCGCTGGATTCTTCGCTTACAAGAATATGACTTCACGATCACATACAAGTTGGGAAACAAGCATCAAGACACTGACGCACTTTTGCGTTGCCCGCTCTCTTCGGAGCCGCTTAACGAACCCGCCACTGCCGCACTCGAGAAGCTTTCGGCCGTCTCTTCCCTACATGTTTCGTCATTAGCTACTGTGGACCCAACTTCTCCAAGCGAGTGTGGTTTGTTCTTATCTCACCAACGAGCTGACCCTTACTGTCGCCGCATCATAGACCGTCTTGACGGGACTTGCCGGCCCCCTAACGCCCGTCTTCGCCGACAGCTGACGCAATTCAAGCTCAACAACCACGTCCTGTACCGTCATATCTACCACCCTGATGGTCAACGCTGGGTGCCCGTTCTACCTCGCTCTCTTCGGGCTGAAGTACTCAAGACATATCACGACGACATGTCTGCTGGACACATGGGCTTCCAGAAAACATATGACCGCATAAGATGTCACTACTACTGGCCGGGCTTGTCCACCGGTGTCGCGAAGTACGTTGCCTCATGCGCCCTTTGTCAGCGTCGCAAGCTACCTACATCGACTCGAAGTCGACAATTACAACCGCTCCCGTGTCCCCTGCAACCATTCGAGGTAGTTGGCATTGACCTGTATAATCCGCTTCCTATGACTGTCACGGCAATCGATGGATAGTTACAGCTGTCGACCACCTGACCCGCTACGCCGAAACAGCTCCCGTGCCTTCTGCATCAGCTTCGGAAGTGGCCGACTTCATCCTTCGAGCAATAATCCTTCGACACGGAGCTCCTCGTGTAATCCTGAGCGACCGTGGAAGAGTATTTCTTTCAGAACTCGTCGAAGAAGTGCTCAAGGCATTCGGCACTACACACAAAACAAGCTCCAGTTACCATCCTCAGGCGAACGGCCTGACTGAGCACTTTCATCGTACACTGTCAGATATGATAGCGATGTATATCGAACCACACCACAGAAACTGGGACACCATTTTGCCATTTGTCACTTTTGCGTATAATACCTCTGTACAGCGCAAAACCGGTTACTTGCCGTTCTACCTCGTCCACGGTCGCTTCCCCTCTTCTTTCGATTTTTCGTTCTTCTCTGCGCCTGTCAAACCATGTTCATCTTCAAGTGAAGAATACGTGTCTCGTCTACTTCATCGTCGCCAGCTGGCTGGCGTCAACACTGAAGCCAAGCAACACAATCGCAAGCTTGAATATGATGCCTCTCATCGTGCCGTGTCTTTCAGCCCTGGTGACGAAGTCCTCCTTCTTACATCCATTCGCACTCCCGGACTGTGCGAGAAGTTTCAATTACGTTTTATTGGCCCCTACACTGTCTTGGAGCAAACGTCTCCTGTGAATTATCGCATGGCACCCGTTCTTCTTCCGACGGACCGCCGCTACAGGGCAGCAGAAATAGTCCACGTATCCCACATGAAGCCTTTCATACAGCATTGATCTTCGCTTTAAACTGCGGCCAAGAACTGCGGTCAGGATGACCGCTTTCACGTGGGAGGGAAGTTAGTGTAGGCATTCATTAAGCACATCTACTATCTTTACACATATTCATCATCATAAGTGGTCGTCATCTTCATCTGTTGTGGGGACTTGGCTTGTCTGAGTTCTGTGAGTTCTGTGCCTTGGGCGTGGTCGCTTCATCGTGTCTTCTGGGCCTAATAAAGGTTGCCTTCACCGTTAGATCACGGTATATATATATATATATATATATATATATATATATATATATATATATATATATATATATATATATATTTATATATAGCAATGTATCTATGACAGAGCTATTTTTCATTTAATTCGGTAAAACTGATAATTCATTATATCTGGGTTCGTTGTATCAAGGTTTGAGTGTATCATTTTCACTGTGATGGGGTTTCCCCATCTGAAAATGATGTGCACATTATTTCTTGGCGCGAACAATGCCTGAATGTATTGGATCATTTTCAGGTGTTCATGAATGTTTGATTCAGTTGGAAAGCGTGATGGGAATACATAGTTAAGTACATATTGTAACTCAAGCGAGCACATAATACTGGAATGTGCAATGATGCAAGCTGATGAGTATCTTTCTTAGTCATGTCATGCTGTGCCTGAGCCAAAGCATTATAAACTGAACCTGGCTTATTTCCTAACGTATTAGTATATGGTGGCCCACAAAAAATACAGTGCAAAAGTAACTTGACTCAGATATGAAATTTACAAAAATTGATACGAAAGAGCAAAGCTTTCATTTTCTCTCTATTTGTTTTACAGACATGCAGTTGTGTCAGTAAGAACAGCACTGTTGATGAGCAGTGTACTGCAACATCTCTATAAATGTGACATAGATATCACAATAATTATCTAAAATGTCACAAATAATTCCCTAATATGTACATATTGTAATGAAGACAGAACAAACAGACAAAGTGGACAAGGTCTGTTTGAAAAGTTTTTGGAAGTTTTTTTTTATTATAAACAATTTATTCAATGTCAGTTTATACAATCTTTCGAGAACTTTTTGAAGTACTCTCGTCCTGTTTTGAAGCACCGTCGCCAAAGCTTAACCCAATAATTAAAGGTGGCCTAGAAGTCATCAATGGATACCTCCTTCAGTGAGATCGTCGCAGATAATTTTACCATCTCCGGCATCTCATGCAGAGTTTTTTTAGGATTCTTTTAATCATTGGAAACAAAAAGAAGTTCAGTGGTTCCAGATCGAGGCTATACGGTAGCTGGGTAGTGTTGCCACACTCATTTTGACCAAAAACTCTGAGACAATGAATGAGTGCTGTGTAGTGCCTCCTTTTTTTTTTATTTAATAATACTGTCAACCCTCGCTTGAGGGTCATAACAGGGAGGGAGTACAATATGAGTACAAACAGAACACCACTAAGCAATAAACACAGGAAAACAGAATGGGCAGTACTTCAACCATTACCAAAATAAGCATCAATTTCTCTGTCACAAGTTTGCACATCTGTACTATTAATAACATGTTGGGGTAAAGAATTCCATTGTTCTACAGCGTCCGGGAAAAATGACCACCGAAAGATGTCAGTGCGAGTGCTAAAAGGTTTAATGGGGGCATCATGATTCAATCTAGTGCTACGTTTTCCAGGAAGGCGTATGTACTCGTCTTTAGGTATTTTGAATATCCCTTGGATTATACGAAATAATGTTTTAAGTTTTTGTTTCCGTCTTCGAATTTCCAGTGATTCTAAATTGCATGAATTCAGCATATCAGTTACTGAATCCCGCCTTCATCTCACTTGTCAGCACTTTTGGCATCGATTGATTGATATGTGGGGTTTAACACCCCAAAACCACCATATGATCATGAGAGATGTCATAGTGGTGGGCTCCAGGAATTTCGACCACCTGGGGTTCTTTAACGTGCACCCAAATTTGAGCACACGGGCCTGCAGCATTTTCACCTCCACCGAAATGCAGCCGCCACAGCCGAGATTCGATCCCGCAACCTGCAGGACAGCAGCCGAGTACCTTATCCACTAGACCACCGCTGCGAGGAAGCACTTTTGGCATCATTGCATCACAAACTTTCATCATTTGAAGATCCTCCGTCAAAACATGATAAAAAATTGTAATGGGTATTCCACACTCCTTGGCAATCCTTGTTCAAAACTTGACTTTTTGCTAGAAGACATCACTTTGTAATTTCTATGGGCGTCCAAAGCAGTCATCGTCAGTGACAGACTCCCGACCTTCCCCGCACCTCTTGTGCTACATGAAAGTTTGGCTTTGTTTCATTGCGTCATCACCTTCGACTTTCTGAAGCATTTCTGAAGAGTCTTCGCCTCATTTTTAACCAGTTTAATACAAAACTTGATTGCATAATGCTGCTTCCAAAACTGGTTTATTTTTATTTTTGAAAAGGATGCAGTAGATGCCTTTCCACAAAGCATGACGTGCCAACAACAAATACCCGCAGGCAACCAAAACTAGTCGCGTTTTAAAGCTTCGATTCTTCACTAAATTCTCCGCCTGAAGTGCCGCCTTGCGAAGCGGCACTGACGACTACCACAAAAAAGGTCCAGGAACTTTTGGTACAGACCCTACAGACCGTGTATATAGTATTAAATTATTCATCTACAAGGCTCAATGTTTTAGCAGCGATTTCAAATTTTTCAAACAATTCTAAGCTTCTGCAGTACATTTCCTTCATTTCTCTGATCTTCTCTAACAAAAGTGGTTTTCTTGGAATGGTTGCTTCATGCAATCCACTCATTTCCTTTCACTTTCATGGTCTGTAGCAAGATGGCGTAACTAATGAGGCACTTTTGGAAGTCCTGTACAGTAAACAAAATCTTAAGTTGTAAACATTATGCAGTTTTTGTTATGTATGCATAACTGTAGTTTATTACGAGCTTACATTGCTGGGTACAAAAGTTGCCCAAGAAAGAGGAATAAAGAGCCCGTCAGACGCTACTGTCCACTCACTATAAGGGTGGCGCCGTGGGCGCTCATGGTTGCCGACCTTATTCACTGGTGACTACACAACAGTTTTATAAGCAGTTATGCGAATGTCAAAAACTGAGAGCACTGACATGCAATTAATAACTTGCCTTTTAGGAAGGATTCTTTGACACTTGTTCTACAGAGGTGAAGCAGCTCCTTGAAACACAACACCACTTTAGCATCTCTGGTGTACCAGTTCCGTATGACAGTCTGAAAGGGTGACATTTATTTAAGAGTACATAGCATGTATGAAAAGCATTTACCTAGTAACAAAAGAAATGTGGATTTATTCTGACTACCCAGAGTTCTTCAATGCATAGATGAACATGTTTGCATGTGGCTCCTGCTTTTGCTTCAACAAAACTGAACCATAAACCTTTTGTTGAACAGCCAAATGCCACAGCCAACGGGTCACCTTCACTTATAATTAATGAAATGCTGAAGTTTTGAAACACTTGAGCAGCACTACAAGCTTTTTATAATAAAAGAGTATCCACAAAGTGACTGCTTTGTTAAGATTAAATTTCAAAATAAAAAAGAAATATCCTAAAGCAAGGCTTGCAAGATCAAGAAATGCATGGAAAGCAGTAAGTTCTACAGCGATGGCTGCACTATCCCGGCCTTTTTCGACGTAGTTTGAAGACTTCCCAAATGCACCTACGAATCACCGAATGGGTTCGTTTTCGTCGTGACACCTGTCGAACAAAATATATTAAGGAGGCTCCTTCTACTTTATGGCATTTATGTAGTGTTTTTTCCCGAAGCATCTGCAAGTAACATCGTGGCTTTGTGGTAGGACACCTGCTTGCCACGCTAACGGCCCGGGTTCGATCCTCAATGGAATCAAAAACTTTATTCTTTATTTTATTTGCTTCTTTCTCGATTTTTCGCTGACAACCAACGATGCCGACACCGACGACAGAATTTGTGTGACACGAGCTCTCTAACGCTATCGCGTTAAAATGAAAAAGTTTACCAATTCATGAGAATTTGTAAGGTTTCCTAAAGGTGCACACACGTTTTTTTTCATTAGAAGTGACAATAAATTTATATAATTTTATCTGAGCTGTTTCCTCACTCGAAAAACTTTGTCGTCATGAGCATAGGTGTGTACAAGGGGGGAAGTAGGGTGCTGAACAAACCTTGCCCCCCCCCCCCCCCCCCATACCCATCCACACAAAGAGAAACCTGTGCACGCCTATGATCAAGAATGAATATTTGTATTTGTACATATTGAGTTGAGCTTCCAACATATTTCTTTAAGGCAATAAAAAGTATCGTTACTAAAACTTGTGTTCTACGTTCCCTGTACCGCCTTCGTGTTGCTGCACTTTCTAATCTTTAAAAAGCCTGCCTATTGAAGCTTTATTTTTCAGGGCTCCCTAGCGTGCCACATATTGACGAATTGCACTAAATGCACAAAGTGGTCCAATTAATGTGGTACATGGCGATGCTTGTAGGATGATACTTAACCCTTTAATGCCTGGATTATGAAACTGCCGAGCAAAATAGAAATTGTTTTCATTTTCTGGCTTTTAAATAGCAACCTTTAAATGGTGCCCCAGTTAAATTATCTAAAATGCAACTTTAATGCAAGCTTTTGTGTAGGTCGCGAATTCTCCATATGCCACAGAAGCAAAGACCTTTCAACAAAAAACGCACTTCAGAACTACATAATTTGTGTGCCCCCTATTGAGTGCATACACACCAAATAAACAAAGTTATTGATTATAGAACTTAGGTTGCCAAGGCGAGAGAAAACGAAGAAGCGAGAGCTGTTGCACGCGCTTTCTGCCATCAGCTTCAAAACAATTGGTTCAAGTTTGAAATACCTTAGACAAGACAGCGCTAAATTTTTTATTCTGGAAGCTACATGCCCTGTGAGTACTTGACAGCCGGCATTAAAGGTGGAATGCATTTCGCGACTTACTTGCTCAAAGTTTTTCGGCATGTCGTGAATTCGCGACATCCGGCAGTAAAGGGTTAACTCAGGGTTCGTCTTACTGTAGAAAGGTAGTGATCAAATTAATTGACCTGGTTCCAGTAAATAAAAAGCTAATTAAAATAAAATAGTAATTCGTGATGGGTTGAGCATTTAGAAGGGCATTTACAGCTCCGACAGAAAGAGAGAAAGAAAAAAAGATATGACTAGCCATTCTGAATTTAAACTGGCAAACACAGCTTGAGAAGTCAAAACTGTACAACATTACCTGAAGTAAGTTCTTGGCCAGCCTGACTTTGCCAGTATAAAGAAGGAGAAAGTGATCATTCAACTGAGAGTATACATCCAGTGAAAGTGAGAGCACTTCAACGTCCACACGGAGAGGTAAGTGAGGCTGGGAGGAGCCTTGCACGAGCCCGCCAATGACTCCAGCAACTTGATCTTGCCAGCCTCCTCCTGTTGTCAAAAGTTGCTCGACATGCAGCACCTGTAACAGATACACTTGGGCTACATCTAACCAGAGGTGTCACAAACACATCTCTGCATGCTCTCCCTCAAGTTTTCAGGGTTACTGTCTATCAGTTCCTCAGCTGAAAAGGCACAGAACAGTTATTTGCAGCACGATTCATTTGAGCAAGAAAAGAAATACTAGGAATGATGATCTCCTCTAGAGGAAAGGGGGTAAAATACTTGCTGTAGAAATTTTCACAAAATAACTTTACTCCTTCACCATTCCTGAAGGTGCAGCAGTCATGGACAAATGAAATGTGAACAGTTTCTAAAGTAGAGGAAATTTTGCCAATAATAACTAAAGAACACTATCTCGGACTGCTTATGATGTCATTACCAAAGTTGATTCATACCTCAAACTAAGCATGCAAGCCAAACTGATGCTAATATTATACATACTGGGGGTAACAGGAATAATATAATGTGTTTCAATCAACCCAAAGTTGTTTGTATTTCACCTTTATTGACTGCACCCGTGCTTCTCTCTTTCGCAAAAAGAAGTCTTCAAATAAAGCAACTTCTGCAATAGTAAAACATGCAATGCTTTCATAAGATCTGAAGTGAAAAAAATAAAAAACTGCTTACACAGTGAATGACAGCTAATTTGTCAAATGTCCGCCCAACTGCAGTCCAGAGAGCTGACACAATGGCAGCAGCCAAAATGCTACTTGTTCCCAGGCCTGCAATAATTAGGGACAACTCAAGTGCAAGCTTGTACCAGAGAAAAAAAGAAACGGGCCTGACCTGATCCTTGGGGCAAGTTGGACCAGCTCTGAAGCTCAATGCCACCTCCATGCAGTGCTAAAAGCTGCTCTGGCAGTGTGTTTTTGTGGTTAATCTGGACAACGCCAGAGCCAATAAGACAGGCTTTAAGGAGAGCACCTGCAGGTTGTAACCAGATCAGATATCAGGAGTGTTTAGAGAAACATCACCTTTTCACAAAAGTTAGAACCCTTATCAACCAGTTTTCAATGAAGTTAAATGTACCAGTGTGTAAACATGCAGTTAATAGTGGATATCATTCACTGCTAACTAGGATGAGATACAAAGGTGATTTACCTATTTGTTCTGCAAGAACACACTAGTAAATGATGCCACTAAAAAGTAGTTATGGCTTCCTTCCAAAGCTTTTACCACTGATCCCTGTTGTAAATTGACTGATTTAACCAATTAAAGCATTGACTGATTTCACCAATTAAAGCAACTGTGGACTCAATGATTGATTTGTGGGGTTTAACGTCCCAAAACCACCATATGATTATGAGAGACGCCGTAGTAGAGGGCTCCGGAAATTTTGACCAACTGGGGTTCTTTAACGTGCACCCAAATCTGAGCACACGGGCCTACGAGATTTCCACTTCCATCGGAAATGCAGCCGCCGCAGCCAGGACTCGATCCCACGACCTGCGGGTCAGCAGCAACCTTAGCCACTAGACCACCGCGGCGGGGCCAACTGTGAACTCAACACAACCCTCATACATTACTTTGACTACGACATCATAGCAAAATAAATAGAGCTATAGTAGAGGTGAGCAAAACATCTAAAATTTTAAAAACCGAATGAAGCAGTTCTTGCTAACCAACTTGCATTCAATAAGCGAATTAAGTATTAACTACTCCAAGTTGTCAAACATTTATTCTGTTCCACTATTATAAGGTACATTAAAACCTGCTTCAGCCTATAAATATAAAAACAAAACACTAAGTAGAGACTGTTCCAAATGATCCTGCTGCAGAACTACAGGTACTGAACAAATGAACCCCATGCTGAGTGAACTCATGCAGCACATGCACTGCAAGCAATAGTCGCCAATCATCTCGCCTGTAGGAGCCAGTGTATTTGTTACCATAATTTAGGCAAAGAAAGCTAACATGCTGCCCATCTTCTGATGTTGGGTTCTTTCAAAATGGCATGCAAGTAGAGACTGGAAGTAGAAAGCGGATGTAAGTAGAAAGCAGATTTAGCACATATGCCAGTACATGTATGCATAATACGATTTACAATTAGATAATCAAAGAAATGAGGAGCTTGCATATGATAACTGCTTCAAGTTATCAATAACAACATGGCAATGACATTGCTGAAACAGTATAAGAACTGATGCAAGTACATCTGTGGTAATACTGTGGTAAGAGAGCATAATCCACTAGAGAGTACGCCAAAAATACGACAATGGTGTGCGCGAGAGCGAAGCTTGTGAGCTGGCGAACGTCGCCGGACTGAGAGAACATGGCCAGCCTAGCCAGAGCGCCAGACGTTTGGTCAGAGAGACCACAGCGACCGAGCTGGTGCGACCAGACTAGCCGGGTCGAGCTTGGTGGTTTCCAGGAACGAGCGAGCATTACGGGCCAGCCTAGCAGCTATTCCTGTCGGGCTGGAGCGTGCGGGCCAGGAGCTCAGATCGTGGCCTCGGTGCCGCATCTCAGGGGCCCCGGCACAACCTGAACTGAACCTCTTCCGTAGCCGAGATCATGGCCTCGGTGCCGCGTCCCAAGGGTCCCGGCACAACCCGAGCTAAGACCGTGGCCGTGGTGCCACGTCCGTGTGGGCCGTTGCCAGTGTGGGCCTGTACGTTTCGCAATAAACAGGTCTTCGTCTACTCGTGCACTAGCGCACGACTTCATCACTGCAACTGTTCGTTTCGTGCTGGCATCGTCGCTACCTCTCTGCAGTACCGTGAGTTATGCTCGACGAACCTCTATGTCAGGACGCGCCGATCTTCTCGCGTGTGAGTTAAGACTTGAGGGATATTTGTATTGTTTGGTGATTCACTGTGTGTGTAATTGTGGTGTGTCAAGTCGATAAATGTGTTTCTTGTTCTTGCCTTGCTTTCCTGCATCTGAGGGCCAAGAATACCACAACATCATTATGTTCATTGTTATTTAAAGCCATATATTAATAAATATAACTTAAAATCCAAGGGCACCTTGAGAAATTCACATAAATTAACGTGCATGAGATGCTGGTTTTGCCTCGATCTTGTAATATGAAAAATTGAGTTGTCACCGGAATACAATCAGCCCTTATATCGCATTTGTTATCATTCCACAAGCCTTTCATAAATGAGAACTCCCTCTTTCAAGTGGGGAGGCTACTCTCACCTCTGGAATTGCTGGTAATATTTTTTATGAAACAGCAAAAAGCTGATGATCATATGATGATGATATGTGGGGTTTAACGTCCCGAAACCACCATATGATTATGAGAGACGCCGTAGTGGAGGGCTCCGGAAATTTCGACTATCTGGGGTTCTTTAATGTGCACCCAAATCTGAGCAAACAGGCCTACACTTTCCGCCTCCATTGGAAATGCAGCCGCCGCAGCCGGGATTCGAACCCGCGACCTGCGGGTCAGCAGCCGAGTACCTTAGCCACTAGACCACCGTGGCAGGGCAACCAGCAAAAAGCTACACAGCTTGATCAGCACACTCAGATCTCATACATCTGCATGCAACGCTCTTCCGCATTATGAACCAACGTTTCACTTTGCACACCACCACTATTTTTGCCGGTCATGTCGCGTCAATGAAAGGAAGACCGCCTGTCTTGGATGTCCCATCTTGCAAAAGGTTCGGCAGATGCTCTTGATAAGAGATGCCACCTTTAGTTTTAAATTCAGGTTTAGTGGCAGATAACAAAGCTACATCTTTAGTACGTTGTTCATCCACCTGAATAGTACACTGTAAGTAACAAAAAATGGCAACTGTGCTGCCAAGTGGTATACAATTCTAAAGATCTGTTATGGGTTTGTGCTACTTTTATGTCAAGGTGTAGAGCTAGTGTCAGAAAAGTCACTGAACCATCAGCAAAGACACAATTCATCTGAGGCAACCAATGCTACAATTTATATGTCTTCAAATAGGTCAAATTCATGCCTGCGAAAGCCTTACCTCTAGCACCAGGCTGATTATAGTCCAGAAGGTCTGCATGGAAAATATCTCAATCTCTTCTGGAACATTGTGGTGCACCGGTGTGATGACAATGTGCAGTCTGTTTGACAGAAAAATCACAACAAGGTATACTAATTATGACATCAGCTTGAAACATTATGACTTAAGGTGTACTACTCACTCGTGTATTCTTCGTGCCCGGGCCCCAATCGGTTTCTGTCAATAAAAAGCCTTTAGCAGACCTATGAGAACTTTTGGTACATACTAATTAAGAAAAAAAGTCAGCCACGAATATAGTAGTTAGTCCTACAAAGGAGTGCAAGGATAATGAAATCCATTTTCTTGGTTAGGCTGGAGTCTTTACAATTATCACTTGAACTATGCAGAAATTTGCAGACAACTATAAGAAATTTTGAGAGAAGAAGGCAAACAACTTTGTCAAAGCTCATGCCAGCTTAGTTTTGCAGCTTTACTTTAGCCATTTAAATGACCAACGTGAAGTGACTAGTATATCTCACGAGTTCATAACTTACCTATTGTCTCACAGTCGCGATGACTGAGCAAACTCAATGGTACTACATAAAAAGTTTTGTTGAGGGAACTTATGCTCCGGTTAAAGAAAAACTCGAGATAATAATAATAATAATAATAATAATAATAATAATAATAATAATAATAATAATAATAATAATAATAATAATAATAATAATAATAATAAAACACAACAACAACAACAACAACAAAATTATTATCCGAGTAACATCCCAAAACCACCATAAGGTTATGAGGCATGTCGTAGTGGATAGCTTCGTAAATTTCAACCATCTGGTGTTTTTTATCATGTGCTGACATCGCACAACACACAGAGCTCTATAATTTCGCCTCCATCAAAACGTGAAGGCCACGGCCAGGTTCAAACCCACGACCTATGGATCAGCAGCAGAGCAACTTAACCACTGCTCCACCGGGCTGGACAAAAAAAAAAAGATTCGAGGTAGTACAAGTCATACTTGTAGTACAACAATAACTGCGAGCACGGACGTCGATTGTCAGTAATGTAAACGTTGGCGAAATGCATTATTTTTAACATGTAACTGATTGAACCTACCAGTTTGATCACTCATGCACGCGTAAACTTCCAAAGAACTTTACTCACGTCCCGGATGTGATCCTAAACAGAATATGAAACAATCACGAAGCTTCCCAAACATTGTACTGCAGCCTGCACCGAGTGGTACTAGCAATTTTCACAGGCGAAATGACCACATGAAATAAAGAACTAAACACGCTTGACGCTGTACAGTTTCACCTCTATATATTTCTACTCTGCTCCCAGTGAAGATTATTGAAAAATTTCCTATGCACCAAGGCCCGAATGCATATAACCATGAACATTGGACACAGTGTAGCATAGATGAGCTCCTAACAGGTAATGCTTTAATATGGTCAGACACTTTTATTACACACAGGTTATTTCAGACATTCGTGCTGCCACAGGTCATGAAGTACAAAACAGGCGGTTGCAATGAAAAAGAAACAGATCATCGACTCACTCCCACTCCTCAAAATGTATAATAAAACTAAAATAAGATATGTTTCCCTAGCTGATTATGTGGCTCTGAACTTGAGCCAACTTGAACAGGCACTGTAAGTGATATTGATACAATGTAGCACTTGTAATAAATGCAAAGATGCAGTAAATGCAAAGCGTTACCTTACTAAGCTTTTAAAGAGGAGTGTAGCATTAAAAACAAAATTAAAAATTTCAACAGTTAACAGCTCACCTGGCCATCAACAAGCACAGCAACATTAATTACTGAGCCCCCGAGCTCATAGCAGATAGGTGGCGTGTCTGTCCATCCACCAAACAAATCCATTCTTGCAGGGCCCTCTGCTACAACCCATTGTCCAAAGGGAAGCTGAGAGGAAGCTGCAGCTGTTATAATATACTGCAACCAAGAACACCACATCATTAACATTATACCAGAACATGCACACAGCTTTGTGGCATGGGACAAAATCAACCACACTGTGAGTGAACACAAAGATTTTCTAGCTCACAAGGATTAAAAAAACAAAGTCTGACAGACTTGTGCGACCTTTCAAAATCAGAAGAGAATTTTTATGAAAGTAGTTTTTGCACTACACTAAATTTTTTCTTTAGTGGGCCATACTCTTCCTTCCCTCAAGAGACTCCAGCTATTACCTTTCCTAGGCCAACTGCAGGTAGATTATGTAACATCTTGGAACAGTACCCATTCTTCCCTCATGATGGCACTTTTGAAGTGTGCAGCCCTTTGGAACTAAAGTGCTGAAATGATGTTTCTGAACTTGCAAAGACACAAAAACACTTTTAACAGGTATAAGTATGCAGATAGCCAGGCCTAGATGCGTGAGGTTCCAGCCTGAAATATTTATATTATGTGTAATCAACAGAGCACTAATACACTGCATATGGCAAATATGTTCGATGGAAGCCCACAAGCTGGAGGAAGCATGAGTTTTAGTGTTCATATTTGTCAATAAGTTTCCTCTCCCCCCAAGCACCTCCACTAGCCTCTGGTTAGCTCCAAGTGATAAAGTGAGTGCCAAGAAAGGTGCTGGTCTTAAGCTGAAATCCTGGAACAGGACAAGTTGTTCTTCAGCTGCAAAACCTTCTTTCTAAGAAACCAATATGGGTTTCCTGTGTAGCTATAAACTACAAAGTTTACTACACTAAAATAGGTTGCATCACAATTGTTTTTCCTTTCGTGAACTTTTGTCAACTTTGCAGGTTTCTACAAAACTGATTCCTCATACTTTACTGTTGTGAAAGTTCAACCTGAGGCACTATATTGTAGTGACGTCTTGTGCTTGATTCTACGATATTTTTGTTATCCACCACTCACGGCTGGCTGATCACATTGATATAGTGGGCAGACAGTCACTCTTACAGCCAACACACACTTGAAAGCATAAAAAGACAGCATCAGAAAATTCATCACTGCAATATAGAAACCCATACTCTTCTTTCGTGTAGTTTCTTGGAAACCTACTGGTAGGTTTTCAATAATCAGTGCACCTGTAACAGTCTCACATAATGAACCTAACAAACAGGGATAAACCTATATAGTTTGAACTCGGCTTGCAATACACCTGCCGTATGTGTCCTGTCTCGCCACCACTAACACACACAAAATTTCAGCCTGCTATGGCTTTCACTTTTGCAACAATCAGTGCAGACACTTCATTGCCAGTTAAAACACATTTAGAGCCACATTTTCTCGTGGAACCCTTTTGCTGCATTCTTTCACATTAATTCATTTTCTGTAAAATGATTGAGCAACTGCAACAATATCTTGATGCTTTCTAACATACAAGTTTTACAGTGTGCCTATCTAAACCAAGTAAAATGACACCTTAATTTTCTAAGTACAGTTATTATTATTGCTGGGGTTTCAGGTCCCAGAACAATGATATGATATTATGAGAGACGTAAGTATGGTTGCATTGTGAAGGATAATCAGAACAAGGTCCCAAGGTCAGGAGGCTGTACCAGGACCTTCTGTACGATTATTTGATATATAATATAAAGTAAGCACAAAAATATCAAAGTGTCTAAGCTGAGAAAAAAAAAGCACAACAGTTATACAGGTAGACTGCTACAATAGCAGAAGATATTGACAATCAAAAGTTTTTAAATACACAAAACTGTTTTATAATTGCATAAATATTGAATAAAGAAATACGAATTCATAGCTACAGTCAAAACATGAAACGATAGCACCATGAACAGTAACAGTGCATTTCAGAAAATGTACATATTAATTTAGAAGAAGAAAAAAGCCCTAAAAGAATACAGTACAGGCTATGAATAATCCTATATTTACAGGTTTAAGAATCGAGCTTTAAAGGGCCACTCACCAGGCCCCATACCAAATTTTGGTTAGACAATGGAAGTTGTTGGGTGTCAGATGAGAAACATTTTGCCACAAAAACATTTTGAATCAGTTCGTTACGAGCTGAGAAAACTGTTTTTTAGATGCAGCATGAAACGAAGAATGAGAGGTGAGCTCGGAACCCTTGCCGCTCCTCCGCGTAGCCTTCGCAAGCCAAATCTCTTTCCTACTCTCTCCGGCATCCGACCGAGAGGTCACGCGCGCATGACAGTGCCCGAACAAACCCGACATCTGCGCACGCGAGCGGCGTTTTTTTTTTACCATCGTTTTTTTGAGGTCTACTGCGCTGCCTGTTTCTGAGGGATGGTTTGGAAATGCTGGCTTACACGCGGTAGAATACACGAGCACAATGAGTGTGTGAACGCATAGGAGTGTTCGACGGCTGTCGTCTGCTCGATGCGCTGACCACGGGGACACGATCGCATGCAAAACGCCGGCACAGTAGCTCCGCACCCCGTTGCAATTCACGAAGAAAAATTGAAAAAAAAAAAAGAACGCTCACATTCCCTTATTGCGGCTCACAATTTATTTAGAGATTTATTAAACTCTTCAAGCAAAAAATACATAAACTACACATGTTGTGTTAAAAATTTTCACCATGTCGCGTGCCACTGCTGGCAACGTCAGAGCATAGTCGTCTACGTAGAGGACCAACTTAACTGCATTCCCGTGAACGTAGGGCCATTCATACGCGCATGTCATGCTCTCATTCTCTGGATGCGCGCCCGCAGAAGGAAGGGGGAGCAGCGTTCATCTTAAAATTTGACCTATTTCAGCGGCGCCTAGCGTTGTGAATTTTGCCAGACGTGATGAACGCATCATCTGCACATTGCGCTTGTCAGCTCAAAATTGTCAAACCTGGTGAGTGGCCCTTTAAGAGCTTTAAGTGTTTTCTTAAATGCAGTAAGAGATAACAATGTTTTGAAAAGGTGAGAAAGAGAATTTCACATTTTTATAGACTGTTGTCTTTCTATCATAATAATTGATTGATATGTGGGGTTTAACGTCCCAAAACCACCATATGATTATGAGAGACGCCGTAGTGGAGGGCTCCGGAAATTTAGACCACCTAGGGTTCTTTAACGTGCACCCAAATCTGAGCACACGGGCCTACAACATTTCCGCCTCCATCGGAAATGCAGCCGCCGCAGCCGGGATTCGAACCCGCGCCCTGCGGGTCAGCAGCCGAGTACCCTAGCCACTAGACCCTTTCTATCATAATTAGGAAGTTTTAGACAGCAAGAAGTTACATATCTGAGAAAAATGAGAAGAGCTATTACTGTTCTAGAAGTGCAAAGAAGTAAAGTTGTGTGTGAGATCTTTATTATTTAACCTTAGAAGCATGGTGATTAAGTTGAGTGCAAATAAATCATTAGTTGTGAGCACTTTATTCTCCATGTGCATGATACTAACAGTATCATAGTGACTTAAAGCTAGAAATAATGAGCAGAAATTGATTTTTGTATATGTTGAACAGATGACGAATGACACTGATACCTGTTGCCGTAGGCAGCAATACCGTTAATTATATGGCTGTGAGTAAAGGCATGATAAAGTGAAAGGAGAGCAGGAGTAGGCAGAGAGGCACAGCAAGCTAAAATGTTGCCTACAGAAGATGCCAGCCAGCATTTGCACTCTATCTGTCACGCTTACCTTTTCTGCGGTTAGCACAGCTTTTCTTATAAGCACCTGTAGGGCTCCTTCATAATGCCTTGCTGCTCGCATCATGCGATCTGGTCGGTCCATCCACTTGAGACGTTCCCGTTTCAATGCCAGAGCACCTTTCTCAATTTGTCCTTCCTGCAACATAAAAGGGCACTTAAGTGCAAGTGTACAGGTACACTGCGCAGCATGTAAAGAAATCCTAACGCTCCAACCATAACTGCTGCCTCTATTTGTCTCAATTGCAAGCTTGAACCATGTAGAATATCGTCTTCCTTTGAAAAAACGAGGCTCTTTGTCTCTTTGCCACCGCTTCCTGGGAGCTGACTGCTGCTGTGTTGCCATTTATATGATGGGCTAGACTACTAGGCATGTGCAACTAGGGGATGTGAACATTCTTGGCTAAAAGAAAACACTTGGTGCGTGTCTGAATCGACAGGAGTATAAGTGATGAAGCAGTAACACAAGCAGGTCAGCATGGCCTAAGAAGTGAATAAAATGCAGGCACGGCATACATCGAAGGGACACTTTTTTGTTTTTATTTGTTTTCCTATAAAAAATACAAGGTAGATATGATTATACATTCGGAGGTCCCAAAGTGAAAGCTTTCGGGGGGACCTCTTAAGAGAAAATAAATGGGGGTTACACATCTCGGCAAACAGCGAGTTATGCAATTTATACAATGTGAATTGCGTCAATATCAATGAAAAAAAATGATCACAGAAAACATCTATATGATAATCACAATTATAGACAGACTGAAAAAGTAAAATGGAATAAAGTACACGTAAATTCAGACAGATAAATGTCATGTGCAACAAGTAATGAGCAAACGCAGTAAAGATAGGCAAAATTCATACCTAAGCAAAATTTAAACACTTATAAATTGGCAAAAGTAAATTAGGAAATGTTCTGCAGGGGAAAAAACGTGATAAATTTCATGCATTAAAAAGAAACTGACGACTTCATCTAGATTGACAAACTGCACTCTGAGAACTCTAATGCCATATGTTTGACTATCATAAGTTGATTACTAGTGGAGAAAATCATGGTTGAAGTTTCATTTTTTAAATTTCACGCTGAAATTTCCACGAGTGACGTCAGAAATTTCAAAACGTAGTTTTCGTATTTTCATGACAGAGCTTGATGAATTTTCCTAAAATTTCATATACTAGGTCTATAGTCGGCACCGTTGACAATGTACTTCATTTTTGTCAATTAAAGGGGCCCTGAAACACTTCTTTAGGTAACCATGAAATGAATTCAGTAAAAAAGCTTATTGGCTCACAATTTCAACTGCTGCAAAAATTTTAAGAATCTATTACGATCCGAGTTACGAAGATTTGGTGCACGCTGCAGTCGCATTCTCTCTTCTCTCGTCTCGAAAAAAGCACTGAAGGCTAAGCAGGTAGTGAGGCATGGGCAAAGAAAAAAAAGCATCACGCGCGCTTTGTGTCTTTGAGCACTTTTTTTTTTTCTTCGACTACTCGGCTCTTTCAGTGTGATTGCACGCACACGTGTGGGAAAGTCGCGGGCTCCTGCGGCGATCCCTGTAATGACCGAGCACGCCATGTTCAAATCACCCAATGGCTGATAGATGGGCTTGCTAGGTGTAATTTTTGGGCATATTGCGTGATTTGTCGCGAGAAGACAAAGCAATGTTCAGCCTGACTTTGATCATTTATTGTGAATTCCAGGACGCGTGCTGCGCTATAATAGTATTTGACTCGCCCGTTCTCGGGAGCCTCTACAACCGATTGGCAGCATTTTCTCACCGTGTTAAGAAATCTTGCAGGGCCCCTTTAAAGCTATGTTGCACCCAGTGGATGTCTTCAAAATCTATGACCCCACGGTGTTTGGTGCGGGAATTTCAAGGTGGCGCCTCCACTCGTGCTTTCATTTCGTGCGTTTTCTTGCTTACCAAGCTTCATGTCGCTATAAGAGTGGCATTTTCAGGATTGTGAAATCGTACTTATACACGAAAAATCGTTCTGCTCTTTAGTGTCTCTTTAGGCAAAGGGCTTGTGGACCAGTGTTCGTCAAAGTGCATCTCGGGAAAGGCTGGCTCACCACTAAAATTGTCGGAAATATACTGTGCGGATGGAATACATGTCGCCATAGTTCGGCAAAGTCATTCATGAGCCGTCTCACTCAGACTCAAATCGAGCCATGAGCCTGCATGAGTTAAAGTAGGTTACATATTGGTGACCTGGAATCCAAGTAAGTCCAATAGATAAAAAATTGAGTGACTCGGAGTTCGAAAGAGTTTAGTTGAGGAAAATTTTATTGAGTCTGAGTGAGGCCCAAGGTGCAAAATATATTTCTTCAGAGAATCTGAGGGGGCTCCATGTTTTTTTCCACCCTATGGTCCTACCTACACAACTTCAGCACTACCGGGCCTCATGCCGGCTCAGGTTTTTACCCTCACGTCTACTAACACAATCTTCCACACATTAGCGTACATACACCTGTTCAATATTTATAGATCAGAGTTGCAATTCATAGAAGAAGGGGTGTCTGAACCTATACCCCGCAAACATTTTTACTGGAAGTTCTAGATAAAAATACCACAAGTGATCTGTGCCTTTCAACAGAAATGCCCTTACTGGGTTGCAACTGCTAATAACAAGTATTTGATCAAAAGATGCTGAGTAGAGCACTGATTCAACGAAATATTGGTGTTAAAGTGCAATGAAATCATGGTTGAAAAAGCTAATTACACGCTAACAGACTCATGAATTGACTCACTCAGACTCAGATTGAGCATGAGTCCGAGTGTGTAATTAGTTTGGTGAGCTCAGTGAGCCCAGTTGAGAAAAATGTTAGCGAGTCTGAGCCCGAGTGTGCCCGGTTGAGGTAAATTTTGGCGAGTCCTGGGGAGCCCTAAGGAGAAAATATATTTCACGAGTGATTTTTAGTGAGCTCCACATCTTTTGTCTGTGTACTTCACACTCTCTTTTTTTGCTTTATACGCAAGTTCTTATTCTAAATTAGCCAAATTCAAAAAGTGAAGCTGGACTAAATTTGATGGTAACATAAAGTGGCAAGCACACCTATATGACAGCCACTTAAAATTGATCGATCCCTATTTGTAATGTGGACTCAAAGCAGTAGTTTCAAATAACAAATGAGCCAAGAGCTGCATCTCCATGAATCGAAGTCAGCCAGATCTCTTTAAGGAACCCTGATAGAGAAAGTTTTGTTCGCGACTTTTTTACAGTAATTTGTAGCTTTGTGTATGGTAATCTTGAAATTGAATCGTAAGTGTTCAAGCATATTATATATATAATGCTAGCTTCGTTAATTCAGAACAATTTTGCATCAGCTCGAAACGCCTGCCTACATACCATAACACACTAGCGCCCTACAGCAGGAGAGCACCTGAGACTACATGCGCTGAAGCTTCGGTGACGCCAAATGTGCTGTTTCCAAATTGGGGGACTCGTGGCCGGTGAAGAATGAAATGATGTGGGTGCTTTTCAGCATGACCCCCTCAGAAAAAAGAAAGCATTCCTGGTAGAAGAAGCTAAAAACATTTTGCGAGCAGCCTGATAACAGAGCGAGAGGGAGTGACAAACAATAGTTCTTGCCGGCCAACAGTTGGGGTATTTATTGTGCACTCTGAAAATGTTCTCTGACCTCAAAAATACTCGCCTCACTCGTGGAACGTCATGCAGGGCCTCCGTTTACGCCAAACCAGAGGTGTCAATAGGGGCTGATAACTTAGATCAGCACTCACCCTTACTCTACAACCAAATTGAAACACTTTATAGGCAATTCTGGTCACTGATGATTGGTCAGAAGTGCTGCATTCAGGACTTTCAAACAACACAAGCATTTCAGCACAAGAGCGTTGCAGGGCCCCTGTAATGTGCATCTAAATCTAAGTACACCTGCCCCTAGCATTTTCATCTCCACCGAAAATGCCGTCTATCATTGTTAGGTCATTTTATGAAGACAGCGCTAGACGCCAGCTTCTTTGTTCTGACATGTGCAACGAACTTAGAATCGAACATGTAAGTAAATGACATTGTCGTATTGTCACTTTGCATTTGAAATTGCATTTTTACTTTACTAGATTTTCATGTACTACAACCAAATAAATTTTTTTTGGTAAGGAGGGGAAATATTTCTGCATTATTGAGAGGTGTAAGAAATAATCGAATAGGATATCACTTTAAAGGGTGTAAGAAATAATGGAATAGGATATCACTTTAAAGGGGCCCTGAACCGCATTTCAAAGTTGTCATGTAATGGTGTTTAATGTTAATGACCTGGTATCGAAGTTCATTGCCACACCAATCTATTGCCACAAAAATTTCCCAAATATGTCAAGAACAACCGGCAATTTCTTGCACGTTTTCTACTCTCCTCCAGACTGGAACACTGGAAGCCACACAGGGAGGGATGGCACAGTGGAAAGTAGTTCTGCCAGTGTGCCTCATGACCTTGAGTGTGCGCGAAGAAACACGATTGACCGTTCTCATTGCGATTCCAGTGTGCAAGCGTGACTCATTGTGTAATGTTAGCAGACAATGAAGCGCCAGCATATGGCAGCACTCTGTGACAAGGATCGCATCTGATCCAAACGCTGCTCTTGGTGTATGTCTCCTATTAGCCATTTTTGCCATGCTATCTGCTGTTCGACATAAGAACAGCAGGCGCGGCGCCTCACCTGAGAGAGTAAAGGCCTCAGTAACGAGCAGGGCTTAAGGAAAGATGCGAGTCTGACAAGGCAGGTTTTTTTTCAAAATTATATATTCTTTGTTTTTATTTGCTTTCAAAAGTTTGGTTTTTTAACTTTAATGACAAAAAAACTCAAGCTTGTAATTAAACTCAAAGTAGGTTATAATCACTTTTAAAGAGCACAAGGCGGCCAATAAAAACTAAAAAGAGTTCATTGTCTAGAGTCTTCTGGAAATTGTAAACTGGCTACTTGCCTTTACACTTCGCATGAGTTCACTAGCCACATGCTCAAAATAACAATGATTGCCAAGCTCTCGTGATGGAAGAAATCATTTAAAAAGACATATCTTTGCCAAAATGGTGAGCTTTGACTTATACCTTTAAAATGCGTTTTTCTCAAGATAACTTTTTTGGGCAACTTCTTGAGTTTAGACATCATGTTTTTAATACTTTTGATAGACAGATTAGGATAAAATTTTGCCACATATTTCTTAACATGTGAGAAGTGCAAGCATCTAATTTAAAACGTGGTATCACTTGTACAATTATTTCGAACCTAAAGCAAGCAGTTAATGTGGGCTGAGGGTTTTGAGAATTCCACCATAACAAGTTTTATAGCCTATTAAAATGTCTTATACACACTTCCTTGATAGTTATTTGCATTCTACAGTTATTTTTGTGGAGCAATACGAGCTATTAATGGCTTAAAGCCATAAAAGTTTACAAGGCATAGAAAGTTTGTCCAAAATGCGCTATACCTTAGACATTCTCATGGGACAAAACGAAAACTGTGCAACTTACAGTAAAACTAATTACATATTTGAAATCAGCATACAAGCATATGTATACAGCAAAAAAATTCATTGCCCTAAGCTACAGATCAACAAAACCTTTTTTTTTTTCGTATCACATCTCCCCTTGAAGTCAGGGGGGCCCGACCCTTTCTCTTACAAGTAGGGGCTCCCCTCCCAACCCCGGGCATGGAGGAAGAAACATTTAGGAGGTGCAACTCTGCTCCTTGAGGTGACCAGATAATGTCACATTGCCGGAGTGGTAATTCATACTGGCAATCTCTTGCGCCAGAAAAGGGAATTGACACCATTTCGGTTTCCAGACGAACCGACAAACCGGTCGCGCAAATTGCTCACGTTCCACCGCAGTCACAGAGCAGCAACGCGGAGGGCGTTCAGCCGCACTCAGAATCAGCCGGTAGCGTTTATTTCTTTTTTTTTCATGGTTGCGGTGCAAAGCCGCAAGGTGCCAGCAACTGAAATGTCTCTGTGGGAGTATGTTATTTTTGTATTTTTTGTGATGCCATCGGAACGCCTGCGGATGCCCGTTCTAACGGGAGTTTCACCTCCTATATATTTCTTCCTCTGTCCCACCGGGCAATCCAACTGTAGCTGTGAGGCACCAGTACAATGAGCGTTGAAGTGGACTTTTTTTTTAAAGGTGTGCTTTGTGAGAAAAAAATTATAACCCTTGAACTTTCTCAATAATGATTAAATCACCATTATCTGTTTCATGGTGTGCCAGTAACAGCGAAAAAAAAAAAGAAAAAAAAACTCACGTATTGTCGTACAGCATAACAAATTTCCCTGAGATATTGCTTACCATGGATCACCACGCTGTTTGACTAAGTTTCTTTGCACAGCATAGTGTTTCAACGTGAGCCTAAAAGTATACCTGCTCGTAAATTTGTGAAGGTTCACCTAGCTTTTTTAGGTTACCAGCCTAATTTTTGAATTGTTAGTAGTTCATTACAGGTGTTGTATAATATAAAATACACCGGTATTTCGCCTACTTTTTTTTTTAGGCAAGTTGGCAAGAAGCCATATATCACTGCTGCGCCAGAGGTCCTCCGTTCAGATATCCAATGTTATTTGTGTTGAACTCTATATTTACCCCTTAACATCTACTGTTACTTTGAAAAATCATTTCCAGAATGCCAATTTTCGGTGCTGCTTGATAGAATTGGTGCATCAATAAATAAATGCCTGAAATAAACTTTGAGTATGGTGCGTGCATGTGTGCATTTGTGTGTGGGTGTGTGCGTCACAAGCTGTGAGGGCTCCTCCTTCAATCAAGGTGTACTTGTACCATGGCAACTTCGCCCACTGCTTCTAAATTCTTCAGCCGTGCATAACTCCAAGATTTGGCTGAGCTGTACATGGTGGTGACTGCTTTCTGCAGTATGTGCTTTTTCACCAAGCCCAAGGGGTGGTTCATGATTCCTCTGAAGTTTTGTGTTAACAATTCTCATGAAAGCAAACACAACTCGCGCATATGTATTTGAGAAGGTGGAACATGTGGCTTTTCTACTGCCAGGGGGAGCTCCTACCCTGACTAGCCTGACATTCGGAAGTTCATTTCTGGAGGGTTCACGTATAGTTACAACACCCCACAGCTGGCTGTGCCCCGAGAGCCTTCATTGGAAACGTGAGCGTCACATGGATGATGGTGTCCAAATCTGAAAAACTGAGCGATCACGCCAGAACGACAAAGTGACACGTCGCGCGAATGTCCTGTTTCGTTGCTTATAGCATCAGTCGTCGCTGTCGCGTGAACTTTGGCACCTATGGAAAGGCCAAACCCCATAACCACGAGAATGATCACAAAAGTGAGGAGCAACGCTATGAGTAAATGAACAGGACATGTTGCCTGGTCTTTTTCACACGATTGTTCGGTTTTTCAGTTTTGGAAACCATCACACATCTATACTGCACAACAAGCTTCAACAATGAAAGCAGAATGCAGCTGTACTCTCCCACCTCCAGCAACTCAAAAGCACGCATCCAGGTCTTGTTGCCTCCAGGACCGCTTCGCAAGCCTCCGGAATTTCCAGCCATTGCACCCAAAAAGTCCGCAATGCACGAAAACGCTCTCGACGCTACGGCAGGATCCATGCCACCCTCTTGTCCTTCAGCAACTACATGACAATAAGAGTTGCTTAAGCACTTGTGTAATAAATCGGTGACATTACTTCATTTCTAAGTTAGACTGCTGAGGACACATACATGAACAGGTACAAATGTAGACATTTTGCGCAAACTTTTACAAAGGCTTGTCATACATATGTAAGCAATTATAATTTCATAACAAAACAAGATGCACTCATAAAGCTGCGATTAAAAAAAAACCATGAAGTAAAATCAAAATGATACCACCATAATAGCAAATACACAGTGAAAGAACAAATCTTTGCAAATTTAAGCCTTAAGCTAATAATTTTAATATAACACTAGTGGAAATAACCTACCTTTTAAAGCATATATTGGCAGGCAATGTGTGAAGATCGAAACAAGAAAACATTATTATTCCTTTTTGTTATTTTTTGTTACATATACACATCTGAACATTACGAGCTTTTTTTGAACACCTTGTTACATTCTGAGCATTGCGAAATAATAACTAGTTTTTGGTCTAGTAGGTTAATAGCTCCTGTGCATTTGCTTTAGTTTATTGATTGATATGTGGGCATCCCAAAACCACCATATGATTACGAAAGACGCCGTAGTGGAGGGTTTCGAAAATTCCGACCACCTAGAGTTCTTTAAATGAACACCAAAGTCAAATAACAATTTATGTCAGAGTGAAAGCTTAATGTATGACATCTAAAACGACAATATTGTCAACGACAGTTCCATACTTACCGAAAAATTAAGGTAAATGGACGAGAACACATGCGCCACGACAGGACATTCACAAAATGATTTGCGTTACGTGAGGTACCGCCAACAATAAACCACCACTAATTGAACTAGCTGCACTAAATAAAGAATCTTCAGTGCATCAAGAGACGTAATAAAGTGCTGCTTGTTCATTTCTTATTGATTTATGGAAAAAGAACCGCCAAATATTACTACGTGGAGTAACATGAGTGGTTAAATAATTCCATTTTCGCCTGGGTAAACTGGACATGTCGTGCCATCTAGTGCGGCCCAGTTGAACCAAGCTTGCCTGCAATCGTGAAGACCATGGCTAAACATTGTTCCATGGCCGTTGTTGCTGCTATAATGATGATGATGTATGATGTTTTGTGGCGCAAGGGCCATTTCACGGCCAAAGAGCGCCAGTTCAACTTACTAAAAATATGGACAATGATTGTGATAAGCGGCTGTATAAGGGCCATAAAATTCCTCGCATTAAGGCGGGTAAGAACATACAAGTAATAAAATCATGACCATGCCGTGAAAGGTGTGTGTGGTGTGAATAGATGACAAAAGTTGGTGATAATAAAAGACGATGGTGGATATATATGGCATTAGCACAGGTGCCTCACTCGTTCATACCCTTGCGTCCAAGGGCCGTGAGGCAAGTGCTTTCTTGTGTAGCCACCGCAGCAAAAACCTCTCTGGAGAGATCATGCTACGGAATGCCTGGGTATATGATATGAAAATTATGAATTTCTTTTAAAAATGCTAACAATGATTTATGACTAAAAAGCGGTTCCCTACCAACGAACATTGCAGGGTGTAAAGGTATATGTTGTTGGTAGGGTAATGGAAAATGCTGTTTTCTTAGTGTTTGCAAGTGTTTGCACTGAATTAACATGTGAAGGACTGTTAATGCTTTACCACATCTGTCACACAATGGTGGATCGTCACCAGACAAAAGATAAGAGTGTGTCGCGTATGTGTTGGATTGATTGATGTGTGGGGTTTAACGTCCCAAAACCACTATATGATTATGGGAGACACCGTAATGGAGGGCTCCGGAAATTTAGACCACCTGGGGTTCTTTAACGTGCACCCAAATCTGAGCACACGGGCCTACAACATTTCCGCCTCCATCAGAAATGCAGCCGCCGCCGGGATTCGAACCCGCGCCCTGCGGGTCAGCAGCCGAGTACCTCAGCCACTAGACCACCGCGGCGGGGTGTGTGTCGCGTATGTGTGTCCTATCCTGAGTCTCGTTAGTATTACCTCTGTATGACGCGATTTCGATACGGGCAGCCAATGACCAAGGTGTGGCTTAATAACGTGTAGTTTGTTTTGTGTGTGTGTATCCCACTTGCTCTGCCAGTATACCCCGAGGTTTCGTTTGAGAGACGGCTTAAGATCAAGGGCCGGGATTGATATGGGTGTAGGGGCAGTGCTTTTGTGGACGGAGGCAGCGAGCTGATCCGCCCTCACGTTGTCTTGAATCTCACGGTGCCCTGGCACCCAGCACACTGCAACATGTTGTTTGAGTGTGTAGAGTGTGCACAAAATGGAGTAAAGTGAGACAAGGACTGGGTTTTTCTGTTTTTTAAGAGTGTGCAGAGCCGTTACCACACTGAGGGAGTCCGTATAAATTACTGCTTTTTGTATTTGTAATTGCTTGATGTGTTTAGCCGCCACAAGTATCGCATAAGCTTCCGCTGTGAAGATACTTGTGCCTGGATGTAGAGGGCCAGCATCCGAAAAGGATGGGCCGACAGCAGCGTAGCACACAGAGGAGTTAGACTTGGAAGCATCTGTAAAGAACTCAGGACACGTGTATTTGTGTTGAAGTTCCAGGAAGTATGTTCGGATATGGGCAATAGGCGCATGTTTTGTAACTTCTAGAAAAGACACATCGCAGTTTATAGTCTGCCATTGCCACTGTGGCAGGTATGCTACAGGAATCATTAAACTGTGTTCAAGTGAGACTCCAGTTTCCTCAGCTAGACTCTTCAGGCGAACTGAGAAGGGCTGCCTCATCGAAGGCTTGTTTTGAAACAGAATTGAGCTCGACAAATCGTTAATAGTAGAGTATGAGGGGTGCTTCTTGTCTGCTTTCACCTTAAGGAAATAAACAAAGGACATGTAAGTTCTCTGCAGATGAAGCGACCACTCATTTGACTCAACATAAAGGCTTTCTACGGGGCTGGTGCGAAAAGCACCCGTAGAAAGGCGGATGCCCAAATGGTGCACGGGGTCCAGCATCTTCAAAGCACTTTGAGTCGCAGACTGATAAACAACGGCCCCATAATCTAAGCGGGTGCGAATGAGGCTTCTATATAGGTTCATGAGACATTGCCTGTCACTACCCCACCTAGTACGTGACAACACCTTTAAAACAATCATGGCTTTTAAACATTTTGTTTTTAGATACTTGATGTGTGGTACGAAGGTCAACTTGTTGTCCAAGATTAATCCTAAGAATTTATGCTCCGTATTAACAGACAGACGTTGACCGTTCAGTTCAATGTCGGGTTCTGAGTGCATGCCTCTCTTTCGGGAGAACAAGACACACGTGCTTTTTTGTGGGTTCAGTCGGAATCCGTTTTCCTCTGCCCATTTGGAGACCTTGTTTAAACCTAACTGAACCTGCTGCTCACACATTGCCAGATTGCAAGATCTAAAGCCAAGCTGGACGTCATTGACATATGTACAATAAAACATATTGCGAGGAATGGACAAGCGCAAGGAATTCATTTTGATGAGAAAAAGTGTGCAGCTAAGTACACCACCTTGTGGCACGCCTGTTTCCTGGACAAATAATTGGGAAAGAACCGTGCCCACTCGGACATAGAATGTCTGGTTTGACAGGTGATTTTCGATTATGTGAAACATTCTTCCGCGCACACCAAGGTGGGACAGGTCTCTTAGAATTCCAAAACGCCATGTTGTATCATAAGCCTTTTTGATATCGAGGAATACAGAGAGAAAATATTGTTTATGGACGAAGGCGTCCCTGATCTGTGCCTCGATACGAACAAGGTGGCCTGTGGTGGATCTACTTTCTTGAAACCCGCACTGAAATGGGTCGAACAAACTGTTTGTTTCAAGGATATGTACAAGTCGGCAGTTTATCATTTTTTCGAAGACTTTGCACAAGCAGCTTGTAAGTGCAATAGGCCTATAACTCGAAGGTAAAGAAGGGTCCTTGCTCTCTTTCAAAATGGGAATAATAATAGCCTCTTTCCAGGAGGTAGGGATAGTGCCAGACAACCAGATAGCATTGTACAAACAAAGTAAGGTTTTTCGTGTTTCGATTGGTAGGTTTTTTAACATTTCATACACCACAAGGTCAGAACCTGGGGCAGAAGTACTGCAGGAGTTTAGAGACGTTCGCAGCTCAGCTAGACTGAAAGCTTGGTTATATGCCTCGTATCTAGTGCATTTGTGTTCGAGTTTCTGCTTTTCTATTCTTGTTCTGTATTTTTGGAAAGTGTCAGTATAGTGGGATGAGCTGGACACCTGTTCGAAGTGTGCACCAAGGAAGTTTGCCTGATCTTCCAAGGTATCACCCTGAGTGTTTACGAGTGAAAGTGTGTGTACTTGTTTTCCTGCTATTCTACCGACCATGTTCTCCTGTGTGTATGAATTGATCCCTGACAAAAACTTCTGCCAGCTTTCTCTTCTGGCCTGCCGACGCGTTCTCCTGCCTTGAGACTTTATTTTCTTGAAGGTGTCAATATTTTTGGCTGTCGGTGAGTTCCGAAGCAGCCTCCAAGCTCTGTTTTGCTGTTTGCGCACGTTTCGGCGTTCAGAGTTCAACCATGGCACACGCCGTTTTCCAGGGTGTCCATTTGTTTGTGGGATGCATTTTGTTGCAGCATCAATCAAAAACGCTAGAAGTAGTTGACAGCCACATCAATGTTCAAAGTACATATGTCATTCCAACCTAGACGACCGATGGTATAAAACTGTTCCCAGTCGGCTCTATTTATGAGCCACTTGGGAACACGTGGTGGGCACTCAGTTACTGTAGTTGTGCTCAAAACTACGGGGAAGCGGTCACTTCCGTACAGATTACTGACGACTTTCCACTGGAGTAGAGGCACAAGAGATGGAGATACTATGCTTAGGTCTATGGAGGAGTAGGTGTTATTAGCGAGATTATAATAGGTTGGTTCTTTTCGATTTAGGAGACGTGCGCTCGACGAGAGAAGGAACTGTTCGATCAGTCGACCTCGAGCCTCATACCGAGAGTCACCCCATAGCCTGCTATGCACATTAAAGTCTCCAAGGAGAACATAAGGCTCCGGAAGTTCATCAATGAGAGAGTGTAAATCACGTTTTCGCAGCCGATAGCTAGGAGGAATGTAAATAGTGCAGATTGTGATCAGTTTATCAAAAAGAACTGCTCGAACAGCCACTGCCTCAAGGAATGTTTGGAGTTGTAAGTGTGTGCATGCAATTCCTTGATTCACTATGATGGCAACACCTCCAGATGATGTCATGGCATCAGCACGGTCCTTTCGGTATGCGCTCGGTATGCGCGGGCCGAAGGAGTGGCGAGGGCTGGTGCGGCGGTGCCCCCTGACGCGCCGCATCAGCGTACTGTAGGTCCATAGAATGGAGCGACTCTTCGTCGTGCTTCCCTAAATGTAATGTTCTCCTTCACCTTCAACGTAATTATTTCTTTTTCTTTTTTCCAGTATGTGCAGGAGCGTGAATATGCGGCATGGTTTCCTTCGCAGTTTACACTGTGTGGCGGTTGTTTGCAGTTCTCAGACACGTGGCCTAAGACTCTACATTGTTCACAAGTCTGGCGACCACGACAGGTTTTAGAGCCATGGCCTTACCTCTGGCATTGGAAGCAACGACGAGGGTTTGGTATGTACGGCCTGATAGATGTCTTCATGTACCCTGTTTGAATAGATTCCGGTAGTTTACTGGATGCAAACGTGAGTATTAAGTGTTTTGTCGGTGTTTCCTTATTATCTCTTCTGATGATGATTCTCTGTACATTAGTGACATTCTGGCTCTTCCACCCCTACAAAAGTTCAGTCTCAGTCAAGTCAAGTAAGTCCATGTCAGATACCACTCCGCGAGTTGTGTTCATTGATCTATGTGGTGTTATGGTTATTGGTATGCCACTGAAATCTGAAAGACGGTTTAGCTTTTCAGATTGTTTTTTGTCACGGATTTCGAGGAGAAGGTCTCCACTAGCCATTTTGGTTACCTTGTATCCTGTGCCAAGAGTTTCGGTAAGACATCTAGAAACTAGGAAAGGAAAGACGGTCCTGGCTTGCTTTTCAGTTTTTTCACAGTGGATAACATGAAAGTGAGGATATGTTTCTTTTGGTTGGTTGAAAAAATTTATATCATTGGTGCGTACCCGCTTTGAGCCGGTACGATCAGACAGTAGGGGGAATGCTCTATGCATGCCTGTCTTATTTTTGTTCAGCAGCGTTGGCGGCCACCCACCATGGAGCCCAATGAGGGGACGCTACAAGTTTGCGGATGCTGAAACCTGCAGATGCCAGCCGTACAATGCTACTATAACCCAATGCGCCTAGACCAAGGTAGGCTATTTGCACATGGTTAACCCTAGCCGCCAGGAAGTTTGGAAGTAAACGGAAGAGAGTAGAAGACAGGACAGATAAATAGTAAGAGATAAAGACGAAGATGTAGGGAGAGAGAGATAGGAAAAGGCGACTGCCGATTTCCCCTGGGTGGGTCAGCCCAGGGGTGCTGTCTACGTTGTTGCTGCTATAGCTTCCACTACTTTCTCTCTGCTGCTACTAGTGTCGGCGGGCATGCAGTAAAGCCTGAAACCTTGTGCACAGCAGCAGTCACTTTAGATGTTCCACTGAAGCGGGAAATTTGAAAGCGCTAACGTGATGTGGACCACTAAGGTGCGATTTTGTTTCAAAACAAGCACTTCCTTGGCAAAAAGTAATACCACGAGTTTTCTGGACCGCTATTTCAATAATCAACGTCAACTTAATAGTTGACTTTGATGTACCTTCAACATGCACCCAAATTCGAGCACATGGGCCTACAGCATTTCAACTCTCATCCAAAATGCAGCCACCGCAGCCGGGATTCGATCCCACGACCTGCGAGTCAGCAGCTGAGTATTTTAGCCCCTTGACCACCGCAGCAGGCCCATTTGTTTTAGTTTATGCAACAGTGGCTTCACATATGAGTACTGCCAGTATCGCTGTCAGGATACCATAAATTACCGTAGGGGTCGGCAACCTTTAGGGGTGGAGGGCCGTGTTACGGCAAAGCCGAGTTGCATAAAGCTAACCCGGTGGGAGTTAGGCAAAATAAATTAGGAGAGTTAGGGGCTTTGCAGGCAAGAATGAAAAAAAAAAACAGTGAACTGACAATAATATACAAAACCGGAAGAGATACCATGCTTGTTTTCAGCATGCATGTCACAAGAAGCCTAGGTTGCAAGTACAGCTGTGTGAACAGCAAAATTTTAGGTGCGAAGTTAATTTGAATACTGAACTGTGACTGCAGATCGAATACAATATTTTCTAATATTTCTTGAAGGTTTCTAAAATATTTTTCAAATACTTTGAAGCATAATTGCAATAAAAAAATTAGAGAGGATTCCTAACCATACTCCTATGAGATAGCAACATGAAAGTGTATCTTTTCGCTAAGTTGATGAAGCACTCGTGGGATGGTGTTGTCTTATCAAGAATGAGGCAATCAAGAAGGTGAATTGCATTGATGTACATGATTTGGTGCAACCAAAGTATTGCTGACAACACTTTACCTGTGAAAGGCAAAGATTCTATTTCCACGGCCTCTCCTCATCTTTCGAGTTCTGCGGAAGCTCAACTGATGCGGCAGACAAGGTTGTGCTCCTTTCGAATTGGAGTTACAAATTTGTCTAGTAACACATCTGAAATTGTGGATCCTGAAAATTTTCATCGTCCAATTTTTCACAGTTCCTGCCCACATTTCAGGTCCAAAATGGTATTAACTAAGCCCCCACCTCAGCCACATGTATGATATCCATGTTGGAATCAGCATTTTTTAAAGTCAATACATTTAAGCTCACAGCACAACCTAAAAGACAGCTTTGCCACAATATAACAAAAGTGTCATGGGGTGAAGCATATTAAAAATATGAAGGGGCCACTGCCAATTTTGTTTTCATTGTAGTTGTCTTCAGGAAGTTCAAATAGTTAAAATAGTGAAATTCTGGGGCAAATAAAATTGAATAAAGACTTTTCGAAACTTTGAATATCTGCACACCCCTGGTTACAAGCAAACAACAACAAAAAAAACTTTGTCATTGTGATTTTTGGGGCCAAACATTCTTAGTCGGCCAGAGAAAGGAAGTGAAGGTGTAATCTGGCTAAGTGTGAAGATAGGGGGCAATGCCAACAGGAAACGATCTTTCTCTTTTCTTGCCTAACCTTATTTGCGGTCAACACTGCCATGTGAGCCTTCAGATAGGAACTGACGAGGAGAGAGGGGGAGGGTTCGATGCCATGCCAGGGGCATGCGGCTCGCAGGCAGAAGGTTGCTAACCCCTGCCATAAATGATTTAATTGTGAATCTGCAGCAATTCGCAGCTTTAAAGCATTGAAATAAATTACACAGTTCACACAGAGAGCTCAAATCGATCTTTAAATGATCCTTAAAGCTTCATCTACCGGCTCAATGTGTTTGTACAAAATCGTCAAAACTGTTTCAGGGTCCCTTTAAATGGGACAAATGCTTCTGACAAGATTGATTTCATTCTTACATTTTGCACCACTGTTCAGCTTTCTGTAAACGAAACTCCTGTTAAATGGAACAAATTTTCCTAGTCCCTTCAGGTTCCATTTAATGAGAGTCAACTGTACAAGTGAGGTATGTAACGCAAATATGCAAGAACATGGGGAACATGATGAAGCATCAACATGTTGAAATTTCTAAGCAAGTAAGGTAAATCAGGCATTCCACAATAAAAAAAAAAAACTGCAGTGAACTCTATCAGCACACCTTCGCAAAAGAGTGAACATTTCAAGTGTGTCTGCGTTGGCATGAAAATAAAAAGTTTTTTAGCTGACTTTTCAGAAATACCTGTATTCCTGCACTAGCTTGCAAATGTGAAGTTGCTTTACAGAAACAAAAAAAAGTGTGACCCATGGAGCAATGTTTATACAACAGTAGCTTCAATACAACAGATACCACATGAGCAGCGCATATTGCAGGAACAAAGCGCATGGCGCCTCATAGTGGCATGATATTTATGTCACAGAAGTAAGATTGTGTTTTACAACAGAGTGTGCAAGTTGCATGTGTCTACTAAAAAAACTCAAAACTGCTGTTTACAGCAATTGGGTAAAAAAGTTTGATACTAATTACTTGAGTTCAGGGCTATATATATGTGTGTGTGTGTGTGTGTGTGTCTGTGTGTGTGTGTGTGTGTGTGTGTACAGGTGCATGCGTGTGTGTGCATGCGTGCGTGCATGTGTGTGCGTGCGTGTGATTTTTCTTTAATAGATATGTAGCTGTTTTTTCCTTCTCAGCAGATGTTTCAACATTTCCGGAAAATTCAGCCTTCACATCATCTTGCAAGAATTCCTTTGTTGTAAAGTAATGGCCCATGTGTCATTGAGGGCTGCAGCCTCAGACATTCTTCTACTGGTCAAAAGTGAAGTGATGAGTGTATTTGCCACCACTACACAGCTAAGAAGTAATGAAATAAGTGGATCAATTTTATTCTTTCTTGTTTGAATGCAGAACAAAGGCAGAGGCTGAAGAGTGCGTAGCCTGAAAGTGGCCCCGGTCATGAAACAATTCAGTAAGTAGAGCATAAGGACCACTAAATATCTCACCAAGTCAAATTGAAATGAGAGCGAATGTCGTCCAACAGAGCATTCTAAGAAAAAATTGAACTCGTGTTCATGCGCAACTCATTTTACAAGCATTAGGTCTATGGCACTGCCTTCTGTGCAGTAGGATTTTGCTGTACACCATGTCACACATTACCGAATAATCATTGCACACAATCAAATACACAAGTTAAAAAAAAAGCAAAAAAACCATGGTTTACCTGAATCCAACACAGCCATTACACTTGTCTCACTGGCCACAAGCAGAAGCTGCATTCATAAGAGGGGTGATAAGCACGTCCGACTTTTCCACCAGAGTCCTTTTAATGACGGAGTTTGCGACACGAAAAAAAGTGTCCCTGGAAGAAAAGTCAGAGTATCAAAACTAGTTGTGCATTCACAGTGAGACGCATGATTGTTTCTTCTTGCAGCTCTCCATCTTTAAAAGGACACTAAAGAGAAACAATGACTTCAACTTGATTGACAAACTGCACTCTGAGAAATTGTACTTTACTATTACGTGAAAAAACGTTTTGCTCTCTAGTGTTCCTTTACCCTAATGTAAAAAATGAATAGGAATATTTATAATCTATGATTGTGCTAATGAAAACATAAACGTGTATATAACACCAGCTTAAGAAGAGCATCAAAACTTGTTGTGAGGCTAAGTTTTATAACCCAATGTTTGTGTCATGATACAGAGGCACGAAAAAAAAAAAAAAAAATCAGTGTTTGCCGTGCGGGGGCAAAGAGGAAAACGAAGCATGCGCGTGGTGCGTGCGGTGGTTCGAGGCAGCGCGTGCAAGGAGTCAGTTCTCAGCTGGACGTCCGGTACGGGGAACTAGACAACGGCATCTAGGCGCTCTACCGTTCCTGGACTCCGGCTGAGCGACTGGCCCAGGGACCAGGCGATCCACTGCTGTTCTGGCTGCCGTTCCGGACAGCTGGACATCCTGTGAACGAGGCCTGTACTTCGGCTGGGCGACTGGCCCAGGGACCAGGTAAGTTCGGCGGTGCTGGCTGCCGTCCAGAGTGGCTGTGGGTTTTGGTTGCTGTGGGCCTGATGTTCCTGCTGCCGTTCCGGGTGGCTGGCGCGACCCCGGTGCGCTGCTGAGACGAGCGTGGTGGCGGAGAGCTGCTGCGGAGCTACCAATCAGCTACCGACGGCTGCTACTGCGGCAGAAGGCCGTGTCACGGCGTGGTCTGGCGCACGTTGAGGGCGGCAACGAGCCAGACGGCGCACAGCCCACGAGCGATCGGCACCGGCGACCCGCAAGCCACATCAAAACACGGCGAAACTTTTCTTATTTAAAGAGACATTGAGTACAGCTATAGACTGTGTGTTTCTACTACTTTAAGTGTTACTCGTTCATAGTTATGTTCTCTGTTAATATATTCTCGTGTGTGTGTCTGTGCGCTCGTGGTTCGATTCAGTTCCTTGCTGAGTGGTCCTGGGCCCAAAACCGACACTACGTCACAGTTTGCAATGTAGTGAATAAATAAGTGAATGAACATTAGATATTTGCTGCCTGTTCACATAGTGCAACCAACCACACTCGAAAGAGCCAGGCCCATTTGACAAATAAAGAAAATTGTAGAGTGGCACTACACTCTAAAAAAAATTGAGTATCTAGAGAGTGTTTCTGCTGCACAACAATAATCGTCATCTACTGCGAGTATAATTTCCTCACTGCTATCGCCATGGTTCCGGTAGTTCGCGGTAGCGTACGGCGTGCGAGTTTTCAATGTGACATAGCACTCCCGACAGGAGAATGGCTAGCGCCGGGTTTTCAAGAAAGGAAATGCGAGCAAGTCAGATGACGATTATTGTTGTGTAGCAGAACTACTCCCCGAATACTCCATTTTTTCTAAGAGTGTAGTGGCATACAGCGGCTATGCTGAATAAAATATAAATTTTAGTTTCTGAAGCAGGTTCTTATATAATACTGTATTACACCATATTGGCAAGCCCCAATGTCTGTGACTTATAAAGCCATAGCTACATAGCGTTTTTAATAAAAATGTAGTATGGTGATGAACCTGCATTGCACTTAAGCTTCGCTACAAAGGGACAAAATTAATTTGGCCCAGACTTATAGACATAAGCAAATATAATCAAGTTGGGACACTTCGGATAGAAACTACAGTGCTTGCACTTGCTTGAATGCGTATAGTACTGTAATTATACATTTGTGGTCACAAAAACAAATAATTCTGAATTCTCATCTCTAACTTAAACAAACAAACAAACAAAATATATATATATATATTTGAATGAAAGTTAGGCATGCTCCTGCTATAATGTGCCCTTAAGAATGTCAGACGAAATTTTCAAAATTTTAAATAAATAAGAAATACAGAATGCAACATACCAGGATCGACAAAACTGGCCTTTCAAGTCCTGATGTGCCAACACATCTGCTAGGGAAGGCCTCTTGCAGTTTTTCAATCTGCAAGAAAACGAAATAGAATAAAATCGCATAATGAGTATATCTCAGGCTGTAATGAGAGATAAAAAGGGCAAGCAGAAAAACAGTGAGCACAAAATGTGAATATATTATATCGGATAGCCCCTAGACCACCCGAGGTTGACATTTCGTTATGGTGTTCCAGTTGTGCTGGGTCTACAATAAACTCATAGCCATGATAATTTTTCGAAATAATGGTGTAATGGCACAGTTACACTTATCTGATGGTCCAAAAGAAGCCCAAGCTCATTTTGCTCTTTTTTTTTACTATGATCTGCTTGCCAGCTCATCTATTTTCCTGGTCTTCCTCACCAAGAGAGTAGGAAGAGCGTGCTCCCTACCTGTGGATGACATAAGCAGATGCAAATGTTGCTGTCATGGCATATGCTGAGGGACTGAGGATTGCTGAAAGGCCCAGAGAGGAGAAGGAATTGTTTCTTGGAATTTCTGGGGCGCCGGCGACTTTTAGTGCTACTGTATTTGCCATTCTTGATCATGACGGCATTCAGAGCACGATGCATGTGTTTATTCCAAATGCTAAAAAATTATGGGAGAAGACTTGGGGGCTCTTTAAAATTTAATTACACTGACACAAAGATTTTAAATCTTGTCGTTTCTGCTGCAGTAGATTACCTGCTTGGCATGGCTGGAAACCTCATTTGCTCAAGCACAGGATTGTTCTATATTTGGAGATGGCTTTATAGCACCCAGTTGCAGCTTGAGTTTCAAAGAGTGAGTTGGGATTCAGAATGGGTTATGTGTAAGCATAGCTGTATACGTGAGCATACAAAATTGCATTCATATAAGCCCCACGTTGACAAAACCTCAAAGCAGCTACCTGGAAGCTGCTTTAATCTCCTTCGAAATTTTGGGTAAGTTTATGTGACCCTGGCTAATATGCGCTACCGAGGCCAAAATGTCAGCCTTTGTAGCCTTGCTCAACTTCATAAAGAAGGTGCCCCATCTTCCTGTAGAAAATGTCTGCTAGCAGTGAGTGCTCACAAAGATTCAGGCAGCCAACACACGTGTGATGCAGGTGGGTTGTTGATTGTTTACAATAAAACCAAGTTGATGTGAGGTAAGGCATTTTGCATGCTGTTAGACAGCATGTACTAGAAAATTGACTTCAAATATGTTCAAGACTATATCAGCCATTAATATTTTCTTGTGAATGATGTGTATTTTGCATGTTGTTACACAGCATGTACCTGAAAATTGACTTCAAATATTGCCACATTGAATATGCAGCACCAAGAGAACAACGAAGAAAACGAAGAGAGAAGAAGACGAGGTTCTCTTCCGATCAGTTTGCCAGTGTTCTGGTACAATTAAAGTGAGTTTCCTGTATTCGACTGCTGCTGTTTCTGCATTGTGACACTGGTGGAGGCGCTGGGTACATGTTTGGGACGCCTGACAACAGCCTCGCATCTTGACCAGAAAGACATCCGCGCACCGACACCCCCGTTCACTGCAGCAGCCGCCGCCTGTTAGGCTTCAGCCCGGAGTTCGGTCCTATTGCCGGAAAGCGGTATCTGTGCCAGAAAGCATGACAGCGCCTGGAAGCACTGGCCCCAACATGTGCAGCCCAAGCACGACACAGGTGACTGTTTTAAACCCTCGACTTCCGGTTGACTTCCACTGAAACGCGTATGAGGATGCACATGAGTGGCTCGAGGCATTCGAGCACACAGCGAATGTTAACGGGTGGAACACCACACAGTAATTGGGCTACGTTTATTTTCCGCTTCAAGACGGAGCCCGAACATGGTTTACGAATCGTGTGTGGTCGTCTTGGGACGAGTTCCGGCAGAAGTTCCTCGACACGTTCGCGAGCACTGAAAGACGAGAAATCGCACAGCGTCTCCTCGAGTCACGGATTCAGAAACCAAATGAATCCGTTACGATGTTTGTTGAGGACATGGCGCGGCTATTTCGTCGAGCAGATCCTAATATGCCCGAAGCCAAAAAGGTTAGCCACCTCATGCGGGGCGTTAAGGAGCAGCTCTTCGCTGGTCTCGTACGAAACCCGCCTACAAGTGTGGATGAATTCTCCAAGGAGGCGACATCTATCGAACGCGCACTGCTTCCACGTTATCGCCAGTATGACCGCCCAACCCACAGTGCACCGATCAGCGTGGCAGCCACGACCACAGCAACAACACCCGACGAAGATTCTTTGCGCCAACTAATACGAGAAATCGTACAAGAAGAGGTCAAGAAGCTCGTCGCCAAACCGTATGACTGCGCGATCGCCTCAGTAACGGAAGTTGCACGCCAGTAGATCAGGCAAGCAGCTCTCGCTTCCTGAGCCAGGGCAAGCTATGCAGACGTAGTCCGCCGACAGCCAGCAAACATGCCGACACCACATCAGTACCACCAGCAACATCCGCCGACAGCGCCTTGGTACTACAGAGAAACTTCGACGCCGAGGCGGCCACCACTTCGCAAAACTGACATCTGGTCTACCCCTGATCATAGGCCCCAGTGCATTCACTGTGGGGAAGCAGGCCACATCGTTCGGTATTGCCTGTATCACTGCCGCAGGGTACCAAGGGTTTCCTTCTACTGTTCCTCGGCGCCATTTCAACGGAACACCTGACGTCGACACGAGTGTCATGACCCCGCGGGATGTTCCTCCTGGGTTTCGGATCACGCTCACCCTCTCCTGGGCGTTACTTCCCCATCCTCTAGATGGAGCACCACTGACATGCCAAGAGGGAGATCTCCTAGTCCATGCCGGCGAAACTAAAAGCAGCGACCTCAGGGGGGAAGGTTGCGAATCGTCGAAGTGCTGAAAATTCCCCAATACTGCCGAGCGAAGAGAGACATATTTTCAATGAATCGACGAAAGGTGGGGTTGTTACTGCCGAAGTTGCAATTACGATTGACGGACATGACGTCATGGTATTGGTCGACACTGGCGCGGACTTCTCAATAATGAGTGAGAGTTGGGAAGACACGCTCAGGAAAGTTAGAATGGAATGGACAGGATCGCAGATTAGAGGAGCTGGAGGGCAGCTACTCACACCTACCGGAAAGTGCACCGCAAGAATGAAGATAGGGGATGCATCCTTAGTCGCAACTTTTGTTATTCTTTCTGAGTGTTGCAACAGGCAATCTTGGGGATGGATTTCTTGAATGAATATGGTGCCATCATCAATATTCCGGATGGTGTACTGACCTTTTCAGCGGATCAAAGCGCAGCGCTACACCGAAAATCCCTGCGAGTCATTGACAATGTGACCGTACCTCCGTTATCGTGCCGCCTTGTTTCAGTCACGTGCAGCGAGCAGAATACTGGAGAAGGAATCGCTGAACAAGTATTGACGCTTCTACTCTCTCGCGGTGTTGCAATTGCCAGAAGTATCGTCAATGTTTTGTGCGGTGAAGCAGAGGTTCTGTTGACGAATTTTACCAACGAGCGATGACACATTACACAAGGCACTACAGTTGCCTACTTCAACGAGATCACCGAAATCCGCGAGTGCTGTGTAGTACAACAGGACGAGCCGCAAGCCACGTCAGCCCCACCACCTATTGACGTAAGCACGGATTTGTCACCAGCGCAGAGACAGCGTCTAGTAGATCTTCTTCCCCATTTCAAAGACTGTTTTTCATCGACATCGAGGGTCAGTCAAACGCCACTGACGAAGCATCGGATAATAACGGAGGAGACGGCAAGGCCAATACGGCAGAACCCATACCGCGTAGCACCGAAAGAGCGTGAAGCAATCCTGGAACAAGTGAAGAAAATGCTCGATGATGACGTCATCCCGCCGTCAAGAAGTCCTTGGGCATCGCCGGTAGTGCTGGTTAAAAAGAAAGACGGAAGCTTGTGATTTTGTGTCGACTACCGCAAGCTGAACCATGCGACAAGGAAAGACGTATACCCATTACTGCGCATTGATGATTCACTCGACAGGCTGAGATATGCACGCTACTTTTCGTCAATGGACCTCCAAAGTGGGTATTGGCAAATTGAGGTCAACGAGTGAGATAGAGAAAAAATGGCTTTTGTAACACCTGACGGGCTTTATGAATTTAAAGTCTTGCCATTCGGATTGTGCTCAGCCCCCGCAACATTTCAGAGACTGATGGATACCGTTCTGTCAGGCCTTAAGTGGCAGACATGTCTGGTCTATTTGGATGACGTCATTGTTTTTTCAAAAACATTTGAGAAACACCTGAGCAGGCTGCTATCGGTATTCAGGGCAATAAGGTCTGCCGGCCTGACACTGAAACCCGAGAAGTGTCATTTCGGTTTCAAGGAGCTTCAATTTTTAGGCCATGTGGTGAGCCATGAAGGTGTTCAACCTGATCCCGATAAGATTGCAGCCGTCAGAAAATTTTCGGTGCCAAAAGACAAGAAAGTAGTCAGCCGTTTCCTTGGCCTATGCGCATACTACCGAAGGTTTATTGCCAATTTCTCCCACATAGCCTCGCCGTTAACACGACTTACAAGAGAAGACGTTTCGTTCACATGGGGCGACGATCAACAGGTGGCATTTGACGATCTCCGACAACCCCTGCAGACTCCGCCTGTGCGTGCTCACTTTGATGAGGATGCTCCTACCATGGTCCACACAGATGCCAGCAACGTGGGTTTAGGCGCTCTACTCGTCCAGTGGCAAGACTCAGCTGAGCCTGTGATCGCATATGCTAGTAGGACGCTTTCCCGCGCCGAGTCCAACTACTCCACAACGAAAAAAGAGTGTCTTGCTGTCATATGGGCGGTTATGAAGTTTCGTCCGTACCTCTATGGTCGTTCCTTCCACGTAGTCAGCGACCATCATTCTCTCTGCTGGCTGACCAACTTGAAAGACCCATCTGATCGGCTCGCACGGTGGACGCCTTCAAGAGTTTGATATGACGGTCGTGTCTAAGTCCAGGACGGCAGCACGCTGACGCTGACTGCTTATCAAGGTCACCGATAAAACGCGACGATGACACAGAAGATGACAGCATAGCGTTTGTAGAAGTCA